GTGTATATGAAGTGGAAAAGTTCTGTTTAAGTTTTAAAATAATATAGAGCTTCTCCTATTTGAAAAAATAAAAGAGATGATATCAGGTCCTAAGTCTGGCAGTGAAACAGGGACGTCTTCAGTTAGTGATGTAAACTTGGACTACACATCTCAAGAAACCAAACATGAGCCTACTCACCTGTGGTTGTCAGGGCAGTACTGGTCCTCTGCCATACACAGGGACCTCTGGTGGGCCTGCTGAAAAGTCATGTGCTCCCAGTAGAGCTTGATGTCTTCCTCCTCCAACCCTCTTCCCTTGACCAACTCTGGCTTCTCCTGCATTGCCTAAGCAGAGTCTCTTCTTTCCAGTGCATCCCAGTCTCAGTGATTAAAGGACTCTGCTCCTACCCAGTGGCCTAGGAATAAGGTTATTTTGTGGGTTCTTACTTTTAGTGGGTTTAAGCTATTAGTTGTTGTTTTGTAATATTTTGTTATAATGTGCTCATTTTCTCTACAAGTACCCAAGGGCTGTGATGCACAGGGTGCAATTTTAAAAATAAAATAATGCTAATTATGCCCTGGAGGTCAGCAGATGCAGGCTCCTTAAGAATGACTGCATTGTAAGGGTGTCCCTCAGTTATGTGCGTACTCGTAAGTACCTGCGCATCAGTCAGCTTGTCTGGGCAGAGCTGTAGAATCAGTCCGGGATCAGAAGTACTCAGATGACAAAGCTTTGCTTATCTCAGCAAAGAAGTTCTTCATGCAGTTTGGGACCAAGTCACAAATGTTCCTATGATGTAAAATAAAAGTAGAGGACATGACAACACAAGATTTTCCCAGCAGTCAAAAGTGTGAGCCCTTTCGAAGGCTAGGCAGCTACAGTAATTGAGTAAATAGTATCTTATCTGCTCCATAAAGTGTGTATTTAAAAAAACCACCCCAGTGGCTCTTTTTTAAAAAACATATTTCTAAAAGTATTTATTTTTGGCTGTGCTGGGTCTTCATTGCTGCTAGGGTTTTTCTCTAGTTGTGGCGAGTAGCGGCTGCTCTGTAGTTGCAGTGTGCTGGCTTCTCATTGCAGTGGCTTCTCTTGTCTCGGGGCATGGGCTCTGGGGTGCATGAGCTTCAGTGGTTGTGGCACATGGGCTTAGTTGCTCTGCGGCATGTGGGATCTTTCCGGACAAGGGATGGAAGCCGTGTCTCCTGCAGTGGCAGGAGGAGTCTGCCACTGAGCCACCAGGGAAGCCTCCAGTGGCTCTTTTTTTTTTAAAAGAAAAACAAACAAACTTTTCCTTGACAAGGGAAAGAAATTGCATCTTTTATTTAAAAAGGAAAGAAAAGTAATTTTTATTCATATGATTATACCTGTAGGAATTTTTTTTTGTTTCTTTGAATTTTAAAATATTAATGTGGGTAATATGCAACCATCGCCCCACCCCAAGCAGTTTCAAGTTCATATTGTTGCTAAAGTTAAGATTGAGTTTAATTAGGAAAGTTTTCAAGTTGAATGTTCATTGATAATAAAATCTTATAGCTCTTTACAGTTTATAAAGCGTATTCATTCACATGCTTGCTTATTTAATTTTCACAATGTAGAGAGGAAGGAAGATGTTGTTGTTTTCTGTTGTTTGTTTAGTCACTAAGTTGTGTCCCACTCTTTGCGACCCCTGGACTATAACCCACCAGGCTCCTCTGTCCACGGGATTTTCCAGGCAAGAATACTGGAGTGGGTTGCCATTTTCTTCTCCAGGGGATCTTCCTGACACCGGATTGAACCCGTGTCTCTGCACTGGCAAGTGGATTCTTTACCACTGAGCCACCAGGTAGGTTTTACTCTCTCTAGTTTATGAGCAGAGAGGCCAAGGCTTAGGAAAGTTAAGGATTTTGTCCCAAGTCATAAAACTGGCACGTGAAGAATATAAGACTTCTTATCCCAACCCCATGTTCTTCCTTAACTGCTAACTGATGAGTTTGGTAATGATTGCTAAAAGCTCATGAATTATGTATATGTGTCTTGCATCATATGGTTTCTTATTAAAGTTTTAAATTTTGTGAGAGTTCTTTAAAAGAAAATCTCGGTGAGTTAGGACACTCAAGCCTCCCATGGCTTCAGCTCCCTCTGTCCCATATTTGTCAGGTTTGCTGGCTCAAGCAACTGTTTTTCCTTATCCTAATATTGAATGAGTTCTAGAAAAATTCTCTTTCTTCTTAGTGGAGTCCAGCCCAGCTGTGACAACATTGGACTCTTTCAAAATTGGCTCATCTTAGCAAACTGAGAAAGCAGTTATGAAAACACATACATGGATTAGTTTATGCAACACAGATTTAAAAATTCTAACTTAGCAATAGTCTGGCCGATAGATTCGTTAGCTTTCAGGACCAACACCCAGCTCTAGTTCCTAGGCCTTGTTTTCATCCTGTTTGGGGTGATGTTTGATTCCAAGGATTGTGTTATCATATGATAGAAAAGCACTAGGCAGGGAGGAAGGAGCCAGGGGATAGGACCAGGTCCCCATGGGTGATGCTGGCAAGTCACTTTACCTTTCTCCGTCTCAATTTCCTCATCTGAGAAGACATGGGTTCAAATATCCGTATCTGCCATATTTCCCCCAGCCTTTGTCCTGGAAGTCTCTCTCAGTAGTCACAGATTTCCAATGGCCAGGCTGAGGTGGTGAGGAAAATGTCATATTTAAACATGCATACAAGAGAGGGTCGACTTGTACCTGGGACCCAGAAATGTAGAGACCCTGCTTTTCTAAAGATTTAGGGAGCTGAATGCAAACTCATCTGGGGCCCAGAGATGCAGATAATGGAGACAAGCAAGATGAGGACCCCTGAGAGTTCAGACCTAGAGAAGATGCAAACCTAGCACAAGGATTGGCAGATGATGCCCGGATGGCACTCTTTGCTGCTGGAACATGAACTTCACCAGGGCAGCTGGGATTTTTGTTCTGTTTAGTGATGAATCTCGCACCTACGCACTCAATACATGCTGTTGAATGATGATTGAATGCTTCAAAGTTGTGATAAGTTAAATAAACAATGTGAGAATATCTAACTTACCTAACTGCATTCACCCCCAAAATGCCCCCTGTGCCCTAAGGCTGGTCTTTGGATAATTATGACTCAATAGCTAAGCTACCGTCCACATAGACACTAAGTGACTTGGCCTTTTCTCCTTCTACTTGCACTTTCTCTGGTGTAACCCTTGTCTGTACAATGGTTGGTCTGATATTTTTGGCTCTGCCCATCATCAATGAATAAACTTCCCCAGAGTCATCATACTGTACAATTCAGTCATTAGACTGAAATGGTCAATAAGACCACACAACCCTCCAGACTTGACTGTGGAGAACTAAGGGTGTGGTAACATGTGGGTGGATATGTTTGTAAGTAAATATGAAGAGGAGAAAAAGAGGAGAGAGCTGCTTTGTCTTCGCATGTGCCTTGCTCTGATAATCAGGGATGGGCTCAGAGAAGTTGAGAAATTCTCTGCTTGGCTTGTGTTCCACTCTGCAAACAGAGTTAACTTTGTAAAACAATTTCATTAACATCATTGCACATATAATAACATATAAAAAAGTCAGGGTTTTTTGAACACGAGAAAAGCCTGACACGAATAGGGAATAATCCAAATAGGGTAACAGGGCTAGGAAAAACCTGGCAGCTCTTGAAAAACCTGCCTGGAGCCAGGGCCAAAATGCTGAGCTGTGGGCCAGCCACGCCTCCTCTGAGGCCGGGCTGTTTCTGGTTCACACTCTTCTTCCTTATGCAGGTTCAGGCTGTTCTCTTTGGTTTATCTCCTCTTTAGAATTCAGTTCCACAACTTGATGATTTTGCTCTTCTCCTTAGTTTCTGTTAAGAGTTGCTTTTTTTCTTTTCTATCAACCTCTGTTCCCTCTGAGTCCATGCCTTCTGATGAAAGATTTCCTTTTGGGTGTGCTGGCCAGGGCACTGAACTCTGATTAGCCCCATGCATTCTTCCTAAGAGGCATGTGGGTTTATCTAGTTTGAGTCACACATGATCCTTGCCCTTTAAGCAGTTTACTACCAAGTAAATAGATAAAGCAGGTAAATATTGGGTAAGGTGTAAAAAAGCAAATCAATTAACTATGACAATACACTGAATGCTTGAATACATTCAAAATGCATAATTTATAAGAAAATAGGGTTTGTTGCTTTTAGTAGAGAGAGGAAAAAAGTCTGGCATATAGAATAGACTTGTGATCTGTTCATTCCCTCCTCCAGTAATAACTAAGCAAATATGCTATGTTGGACACAGAAACGGAAGGAAGATGGGTATGACACGATTCCCACTCTCAAAGCTTGTACCTTGTAGAGGAGACATGATGTGTACACATGCCTGTCTAAAATACAAGGGGGAAAGCGTTCAGCGTTTCGAGAGGTACACTAACAAGGCTTAGGCAAGGAAGCAATACTTTTTGGTTAAAGAGGAGGTGGAGACATTTGAGGTAGGCTGGAAGCACAGGTGGGATTTCATATTTTCAAGGTTTCACCAGGTCGCTGATGCGTCAAGGTGAAAATAAGTCATTGCAACTGACAACTGAAAAAACAGTATTTTTCTGGCTTTGGTCCGCATCTATTATAGTGGCTTTCTAAACCTTACCCAGTCTTCTTGCTCCGATACTTTTTTGGGGGGGCCTTGCAAGTTCTGAACTATTTGAGAATCATATCCTCTTTTCAGCATCTGAGAAAGTTATGGAACCTATTTCCAGAGAAATAAACATATATACCCAGTGAGTTGCACACAGTTTTCAAGACTTCGTGGACCCTTGCAGCCTTCTTGGACTACCAGGAGTCCGTGGTCTCCAGTTTAAGGATTCCTGATGTAGAGTCCCTGAAGTGTGGAAGCCGTCAGAGTTCAGAGCTGCATAGCAAGGTCTGACTGTTAGCATGCTGGGAGCAGCTCTCACGTACAGAAGTCATAGTGTGTTCTCTGGATTCCTCCAGAGAACCAATCTTGGAGGCCAGTCTTGACACCAAAGCAGTGCTCCTTGCTAATGTGCACCTATGTGTCTACACACACATGCGTGCACACACACAATCAGAATGGGGAATGCATTTGTGCAGGGTGCACATATTTTTTTAACATTTCCCTGGTGATTCTGATACCCCTGATATGTCCTTCCACACCCACTGCCTTAGGATGTTATTATGTACGAGCCTCCTGCATCCATGGTGTTGAGAGATTCCTGCCTGGCAAACCCATCAGACCTGCCCAGACAAATCTGAACCCTGGCTGTGAGCCCAGCTTAAGCTTGAGCTTGGACATCCCTCCACTCACCTTGCATGCTGAGTTAATATTGAAGCCAGACAGCAAAGTAAGGTCACCAACAAGGAAACTCTAGAAAGCAGGCAGTTTGCAAGTGTTAAAAATAATTCTCTATCACAACTTCCTTGAGCGGGAGCTGGGCTGGAGCCTTTTAGAATCAGAGATGTGACCTAGGATGTTGAGTTGTTCTGATCTGCAGCTCTGGAATTAGACTGGGCTTCTGGGAGTCATGAGTAGGTTGGGGTGAAAACCGCCTCCCTTTTCCTATTTTGAAGGCCATTGAACATCAGTGTGGTATCTCCCTCAGGACCAAGTCTAGATTACTGGGTGTGCAGAGTAAGCATGTGTTTCTTACTCTGGGAGAAGGCAATCCCCTCTCCCAGTTGCTACACCCACTTTAATCAAAGTTGTATGGGCTCTTACCCCATCAGATCCCCTTCTCAACTGGAAATGGCAAATCAGGGAGAACTGTACCCTGGGGTTATAGTGGTACTCCTTTCTGTTCTGAAGGGCAATCTGTATTTCTGAAGATACACACCTAGTTCATATCCTCCAGTGCTGCTGCTGCTAAGTTACTTCAGTTGTGTCCAACTCTTTGTGACCGCATGTACTGCAGCCCGCCAGGTTCCTCTGTCCGTGTGATTCTCCAAGCAAGAATACTGGAGTGGGCTGCCATTTCCTTCTCCATCAATACTCCAGTACTTCCCAAGAATTTCTAACAGTTACTCATAAACACCCACTCTATCTGGGTATCAGGTCAGGCACTTCAGAAAGGAACCGTTTATGGTGAGTTTGTGGTAGGGAGATGTTCTGGGAAATGTGTGAGGAGGAGGCCTTGAGCAGGTTCCTTGATTCACAACACAAAAGCGACAACGTCTACTGTCTGTGAACCAAGAATTCTTCTTGCCTTATGTTTTTCTTTTCTTTAAAAAAAAAAGCATTGATTTGTTTTAATTGGAGGATATGTACTTAACAGTATTGTGATGGTTTTTGCCGTACATCAATATGAAGTGGCTGTAGGTATACATGGGTCCCCTCCTTCCTGTGCCCCACTCCCACCTTCCTCCCCTGTTTTTCTTTTCTATTATTTTTTCTTGGCTTAAATTTATGTAAAACTTTGCTGTGTTAAATGTTTACTTTTTTTTTTTTTTAAAGGCAGGGGAAGAAGAAGTCCTTTGAATCTTTCCAGTTCTTTCTAATGACTTTCAGTCCTGACATCTGCCTTGAAATTGTCATGTCCCCCCTTTGGCAAGGGGAAGGGGAAACAGGAAGAGAACTCCTGGCCTTCCTGAATCTGACTTCAGAGCCCAAGCTCTCCTCTCTCTGTAGGAGCCAGGAGCCCCAGGGAAGGGTTTGAAGGCAGGGGTGCTCACAAACAGTGGGCTGGGAAGCCCTACTCCACACAGCACGAAAGCTACTGAAACAGATAAATTTGAGGCTTAGGAGCTGGATTGTCTTAAGAGGTAGGCTTTCTTTTTTTTTTCTGAGAGTTATTACTAGCCTTGGAATTTATTTCCTTGGAGGTTGGTGGCAGCCTGAATTTGGCAGTTTTCAGGGCAGTGTGCTTTTGAATTTGCTTTCATTTCTTTCTTTCTTTTTTCTCTCCTAAAACTTGGGGTTCTGAGGACTCAGGGCATTGGCTTATTAGGAAGGAGAACGTGGCAACCTGTGCTGAAACTGCTGCATGACAGGATGCCTAGACTCACCTGGGGTGCCCTGAGTAGGGACAAGCAGGGTTCAGGACTGAGTTCAATATAAAAACAGACCCAAACCAAACCCCACACCAAAAACACCTATCAAAGGCAGGAAACAAATGAGAACATTTCACACCTCTGAATAGCAAAATTAAAAGACAAATTAAAAACTGGGAAAAGTATGTTTGAAACACATATAAGAGAAGTTTAAGGTCATTTGAAAGTGCCCTTTCAGGAATTCCCTGGTGGTCCAGTTGTTAGGATTCCCTGCCTTCACTGCAGGGAGCACAGGTTCTATTCCTGGTCAGGGAACCAAGATTCTGCAAGCTGTGCATCAAGGTGTTTCCCCTTTCCTCTGAAAAATGCACTTTCAAATCAAGAAGAAAATGGTGAATATCTTAATCAAAGGTATAATAGCATAAAAATGCACAGTATATGAAATAAAAATGGTACTAACTATATAAAAATGCTCACTCTGCCTAGTAATCAAAGAAATGCACCTTAAACAAAAAGGCCATATTTTAGATTATCAGATTGGCAAGGATTAAAAAGAAAAACTGGGTTGGTGAGTATGTGGAGAAATGGGTACTTTTATGAGTAGCTAGTGAGTATATAAATTGGAGGGCAATGTGGCAGTGTATATCAGAAAACTTAAAAATGTATGTACCCTTTAGTATAGTAGATCCACTTAAAGGCATTTAACTTTAGGGAATTCCCTGATAGTCCAGTGAATAGGATTCTGCACTTCCAAAGACATGAGTTCTATCCCTGGTCAGGAAACTAAAATTCCACAGGCCACATGGTACAGCCAAAAATGAAAAAGGAATTAATCTTTAGGAAATTATCAGAGATCTGTGTAACTATTTAGCTACAAGGATGTTAAATAATATACCCATACTATGAAATATGCATGTATTAAAAATGATGTCATAGGTATTTAATTGTATAAAAGGATATTCATAATATATCAAATTTTAAGTTAACTAAAATTAGCATGTAACTGTAATGCAGTTTTACAAAAGAAAATCTGATGAATAGACTAAAAGAATATAAAAGAAGGTTAACAGTTATAACCAGTTGTTTTTCTAAGATAGTAAAATTGTAATTAATTTTTCTTTCTTGTCATCATCTCTGTTTTATAAATTTTCTACAGAGAATATATTTTCTTTCCATAAACAGAAAAATAAACCTTCATGGCATTATTTATTTAGTCAAATGGTGATATATTTTTACCCCCTGAGGATGGTGCCAGTGGAAGAAATCTTATGGCTTCAAAGGTAACTTGAGCAATGAGCTCTGTCATTTTCCAATTTTAAATAAGAATTTTTTAAATTTGAAGCAATTTGATTTTTCTCTTTGTGAAACTGTAATGTGAGAACTCTCTCTAGAACTAAAACAAGTGATTTAATCCCTTTTTAAAAATTAAAATGATGTTCTGAGGAAATTAAAGTCCACAATGACTAATGCAACCATGAAAATGAGCACTGACATTTACAGAGTTTAAAAATAAAGTAGGGCCCCAAAGCCCATTACACCAGCCTACACACGAGAGAAACATCAGACAAACCCAAATTGAGGGCAACCTTCTATGGAATACAATTACTCCTCAAAAGAGTCAAGGTTGTGAAAAGCAAGGGGAGACTGAGACTGTCGTGGGCCAGAGGACATGAAGACAGGACAGCAAACACTGCATGGTGTCTCGAGTTATATCCTGGAACAGAAGGACATTAGAGGACATACAGGTGAAATCCAAATAAAGTCTGGAGTTTAGTTGGAAATAACTCACCAATGTTGGTTTCTAAGTTTTAACGAATATACCATGGTCATATAAGATGTTAACACTGTAGGGTAACTAACCACCCTGGTTTGTCTTGGGAGAGGGACTTTCCATATATGAAATATACACTGCTTGTCTTTTTATTATCTTGCTGTTTATGTTTTCAGAGATATTTGTTTGCAGGGTATTCTGTGTGGTTATTTAGTTGGCCTTTTTGTGCATTCACTTTTAGCATACATTAAATAAGCTTTAAAAAGTTTGTACTTCTTTCCATTCCATTCCTTTATCCCTGGATTTTACGTACTTTCAAAATATTCATTTCTAAGCCTTTGTTCACATGCTCTCATCTCCTGCTCAAAAAAGTTTCCATGATTGCTTAAACCCCTCTATGCATGGGTCCCTATGTTGTTCTTATAGAATCTTCCACTCTCAGTATTCTACTAGATTTTTTTTTTCTACTAGATTTTTTTAAAGTGAAGATTCTTACTTTTTTCCCTCTCATTTAAAAATCGAGGTAGGGACTTCCCTGGTGGCCCAGTTATTAAAGACTGTGCTCCCAATGCAGGGGCCTGGGTTCCATCCCTGGTCAGGGAATTAGGTCCTGCACTTGGCAATGAAGATTCATGTGCCACAATTAAGACTCAGTGCAGCAAAACACACACACACACACACACACACAGAATAAGCTTTTTATTTTTTATTTATGTTTTTGAAGTTCATTTTTTAGTATTTTTATGACAGGAAATTCCAATAATTCAGAATCAGTATTTTTCTTTTTTTTAATCAAAGTGTAACTGGCTTGGTGATAAAAATTTGAATCCACCTGCCAGTGTGGGAGCCCTGGGTTCATTCTCTGAGTCGGGAAGATCCCCTGGAGAAGGAAATGGCAGCCCACCCCAGTATACTTGCCTGGAAAATTCCATGAACTGAGAAGCCTAGAAGGCTGCAGTTCATGGGGCTGCAAAGAGTCGGATGCAACTGAGTGACCAAGCACATAGGGAAACATCCTTCTAAAGCACAAGTATGTGAATTTTTGACTACTAGGTTTTTTACAATTGTAATTCAGATGTCTTCTTGAAACTGTCTTCTTGATTCTTCACAGATGTTTGATTTCATCAATAAAGATAAAGGTGACTTGAAATACTGATAGACTATGTCTATACCAGTTATAATAAATAAATCTTCATTAAAGTTTTGCTCATTTCTTAAATACCCCTTTTCTCTTGAGTACAAGGTTTAGAATTATTAAGTTTAAATTTCATGGAGGACAAGACATAGGTAAATTCTGTAGGACAAATGATTGAAAGTATCAGAAAGTTATGATTTAATTTAAAAAGTCAGCATGAATTCACATCTTATCTGCCACAGTTATGTGAAATAATCTCTGGGTCTAACGACAAATATCAGCTCAGGGAAGCCATGAACCAATTATTTGGGATCATGCAAAGAATACTATAGAAACAACTAATCTAGAAGTTAAAGTATGGTATGGGGATGAACTACTTAAGTAGATTACACATTGACTTTGATATCAAAGTGTGGAATAGTTTGAAATGGATGGATTACAAAGCTCTAGGGATCAATATTAAGACCAATTTTATTCATTTTATTTGTCAGTGACTTAGAAGGAACAGGCAGTAAGCTTGTTATACAAAACCAGAGGGAGGGACAGTTGATACAAAACAGGAATGAAATGACTTGAGTAGACTAGGAACATAAGCAGATAAGTGGCTTATTCAGTTCAGGGTGGAGGAAATATGAAGTAGAAAGATTATCTCACAGTAATATGAAATCACAATGTTCAAGTAGAGTGAAAGAGTGAAAACTCATTAGGTAAGTAAATAAACATGCTATAAATAAATTAAAATAATTCAAATGCTATAAGTAAGAAAGGAATATTGACTATTGAATTTAAATATTAATATTTTAAGTAAAAACATTCTGTCTTTAGTATAGTAGACTAAGAAAATAACTCACTGAAATATGTATAATTAGAGGAAAAATAATAATGCTTTGGGAATTCCCTGGCAGTCCAGTGGTTAGGACTCTGAGTTCTCACTGCCAAGGGCCTGGGTTCAATCCCTGGCCCAGGAACTATGGTTCCACAAGATGTGAGGTGAGGCCAGAAAAAAAATATAATAATGACACTTGCTGTCAGGGATGATAGATCACTTGCATTCTGGGTAGTGCATCAATACCAGAAATATATTAAATTAGGTTGTAGAGCCAATTTATTTATTTATTATGCTTTATAACTTACATATATATTGTACATATTTTATATATATCAAGTGGTATATAATAAAAATATTTAAAGATTTCCTTACAAATTTTTGATGATTTGTTCAGCTGATCAATACTAGTTTTGTGATCTCTTTACAATCAGCAGGTCATATTATTAGCAGTTTCTCCATCAAAATAAGATGTCTGAAACTTTCACCTTAACAGAATCCAAATTCATGGTGTATTGAAATCAATGAGCAATTCAACAGATGTTTGTTGATTATCTTCTCTTTGCAAAACAAATATAATTATTTCTTGTACTTAAATATGTCTCTTTTGATAAAGTGTAAAAATCTAACCTTTTCTAAGAGATTGGATACATGTATATGGATGGCTGAGTTGCCCTGCTGTTTACCTGAAACTATCACATTGTTAATCTGCTTACTCCAATACAAAATAAAAAGTTTTTAAAAATCTAGCATTTTCTCTCTTGTTCTTTTTTGGTTACACCTTTATTTATTTGTTTATTTTTGTCTGTGCTGGGTCTTCGGTTGCTGCGTGAGCTTTTCTTTAGTTGCACAGCTCTCTGGTTGTGATGTGTAGACTTATTGCAGTGGCCTCTCCTGTTGCAGAGCACAGTGAATTCACTCAGTCTTGTCCGACTCATTTGCGACCCGCATGGACCGTGGCCCACCAGGCTCCTTCGTCCATGGGATTTTCCAGGCAAGACTGCTGGAGTGGGTTGCCATTCCCTTCTTCAGGGGAGCTTCTCAACCCAGGGATCGAACCCATATTTCCTGCATTGCAGACAGACGCTTTACTGTCTGAGCAGGCTCTAGAGCATATCAGCTCAGTAGTTGTGGTTCCTGGGCTCTAGAGCACAGGCTCAGTAGTTGTGGAGCACTGACTTAGTGGCTCCAAGGCATGTGGAATCTTCCCCTACCAGGGATCAAACTCATCTCCTGCATTGGCAGGCAGAGTCTTTACCACTGAGCCATCAGGGAAGCCCTAGCATTTTCTTTTAATATCTGAAATTCAAATAAGTTAATGTCATACCTTAAAAAAACAAAAGTTTCAGTGGAACAAATGAAGAGCTGTTTTCTTTTCAAACCATACGCTCTCCTTCCTTGAGAATCACTGCTTACAAGTCACAGAAGAAGGGTGAGATATCATGCTTGGGCACAAAATGTGTAGGATTTAAACAGTGATGACAATATGGTTGTGAATTAAGTGTAATATTAAGGGCACACAGACAGTTAAAAGTGAGGGAATTACTAATTGCTGGAAGCAGTGCCTTTATGGAAGGTTAAGGCTTGGACTGAGGCTTAAAGGCTTTTTAGAATTTTTAAGAATACAGGCGAGAGGGCACAAGCCTGGTGATAAAGGTTCAGGTTTCCCGGATGGCTCAGATGGTAAAGAATCTGCCTGCAACGCAGGAGACCCGGGTTTGATCCCTGCGTCGGGAAGATCCCCTGGAGAATGGAATGGTTAACCACTTGAGTATTCTTGTCTGGAGAATTCCAAGGACAGAGAAGACTGGTGGGCTACAGTCCATGGAGTCACAAAGAGTTGGACATAACAGAGTGATTAACATAGGAAAGGAAACAGAAGGTTGGTATTCTCCATATTCTCTCTCTCTTGGTCTCTTCTTCTGTCTCACATTTGGCTTGAAGTGCTACGATGCAAGAAATCCCCCATGCAAACTACTCCATACAATATTTTTGGGCTTCCCAGGTGGTGCTAGTGGTAAAGAACCCATCTGCTAATGCAGAAGACATACGAGACGTGGGTTCAATCCCTGCATTGGGAAGATCTCCTAGAGGAGGGCATGCAATTACTCCAGTATTCTGGCCTGGAGAATCCCATGGACAGAGAAGCCTGGTGGGCTATAGTTCATGGGGTCACACAGACTTGGACACGACTGAGCAACTTAACACACAGCACAGAGCGATTATATATAGGGCAGTGAAGGGTTTTGAGAGAGACCCTTGTATATGTTAGATAATGGGAATCACTAACATTTTTGAGGCAATGGAAGGTTAATTTGGGGGTGGGAGCAGGAAAGTCTGGAATACTATCTAGAGCTACAGAAGTCCAGACAGGGAAAAGCATGCTCTGATTTCTTTCAGAAGGAGCCAACTAACCCTCAGTGATTTCTTTCTTTTTTTTTTTTTTTCTGTCTTACAACATTCCTTTATTTATTATATAGATGCAAAATCTGCTTTATGTACAATACTTGTACGTTATTTGGTCCTACCAAATAATCTTACCGAGGCATTCTACTGGTAATCTTCCCCCAAAAGATTCAGGTAAAATTAAATATTGTGCACTTCACGACTACCCAAACCTGAGACTTGGCTATTGATTTCAGCTTTGAGGTCATACACACAAATCGAACTAGACACACGCAAGGTTAAGGCGATGAACGTGAGCTGCAGGAAACCACAGGGTTCAGAACTAGGCTGTGTATTTGCTTGAGTTAGACTCACAACGTGAGCAGCAAAGGCTGTGCGGATCTCAGAGCGCTTTTATTGTAGTGTGAGGGCTTCTGCACACCCACGTGACCGCGTGGCTGGGCCGCTGGCAGCCTGTGGGGCCTGAGGCCCCCTCACCCGGGGCTCACTTCTTCTCAGCCTCTCCTGTTTTGGGTTCTTGCTTCAGTTTGTAATCAGCCAGGGCGGCCTTGATGGCGTCTTCAGCTAGCATGGAGCAGTGCAGCTTCACGGGCGGCAGGCATCGCTCCTTGGCGATGTCTGTGTTTTTGATGGTCAAGGCTTCCGCCACCGTCTTCCCCTTCACCCATTCGGTGGCTAACGAGCTGGAGGCAATGGCAGAACCACAGCCAAATGTTTTAAACCTGGCGTCCACGATCTTCCCCTTTTCATCCACTTGAATCTGTAATTTCATGACATCGCCACACGCTGGAGCCCCCACCAATCCAGTCCCAACATTTTTAGATGTCTTGTCAAGGGACCCCACGTTCCGGGGATTTTCATAATGATCAACCACCTTCTTGTGATAGAGCCGAGCGGGAGCTGACAGCTCCCGGGCGGGCAGGCGCGGGGCCCGGAGCAACACGGCCGAGGCCGCCCGCCTCAGACGGCCCACTCCAGCCGCCGCCATCTTGCGGGCTTGCGCTTGCGCAGCCCTCAGTGATTTCTGAATTTGGAAGATACTCCCTTATCAATGCATGTAGCCAACTTTAGACTTTGTTATTTCTCTTCTATTTTATCTGAATGTGTGTATGTTTATCTTTCTTCTCATAAATGGATTATCTGCTGCTTGGAGGTAGGGGCTATACACTATCTTATGGAATTTGTTGTTCAGTCGCTATGTTGTGTCTGACTCTTCACTACCCCATGGACTGCAGCGCGCCAGGCCTCCCTGTCCCTTGTCATCTCCCGGAGTTAAAGTAAGTTCATGTCCATTGAATCGGTTGGATTGATGCTATCCAATCATCTCATCCTCCGCCACCCTCTTCTCTATTTGCCTTCAATCTTTCCCCAGCATCAGGGTCTTTTCCAGTGAGTCGGCTCCTTGCATCAGGTGGCCAAAGTATTGGAGCTTCAGCTTCAGCATCAGTCCTTCCAGTAAATAGTCAGGATTGACTTCCCATAGGATTGATTGGTTTGATCTCCTTGCTGTCCAAGGGACTCTCAAGAGTCTTCTCCAGCACCACAGTTCAAAAGCATCAATTCTTTGGCACTCAGCCTTCTTTATGGAATAGAGCTCAATAAATTGTGTGGTTTCAGTGGGTAGCTGAAGGAGATTCTGCAGGAAAACTTGTTAGCATCTTGGAATTGGCTGCCAGTGAGAAAGAAAAGAGAGAAATGTGTCCAAGGCAATTTCATGTATGGACCTCTGAGAAAAGGATGAGGAAATTGCTGTCAGAGACAGGAATGTTACAGGGAGAAGGGATCTGGTTCTGTAGAAAGTTATGGGTTTAGCTTTGAACGTTCTGAGTTTGAGGTTAAAGGGCGACATTCCAGAGGAACTGACAGTGCTTGATGTAATGGAACTGGAACTCAGGGGACAGGAGACGATACAGATATTTGGGATTGAATTTAGAGATGGCTGAAGTTGTGGTGATGGCAGGAGTGGTGGTGCTTCCTGGGGATGAGTTTGTAAAGAAAAGCTCAGGGAATCCAAACCCAAGTCTGGAGTAACGTTCATTACTTAGGGGCTGGAAGGAGGAAAAGAAACCCTAAATGTACACTGACCAGTGTGGTAGTTAGTAGTCACATGTGGCCATCTAAATTTAAATTATGTGTGCTCCTGCTCAGGTGTGTCTGACTCTTTGGAGCCCCATGGACTGCAGACCTCCAGACTCCTCTGTCCATGGAATTTGCCAGGGAAGAATCACTGGAGTGGATTGCCATTTCCTACTCCAGGGGATCTTCCCAATCCAGGGATCGAACCCTCACCTCTTTCATCTCTTGCATTGGCAGGTGGGTGCTCTACCACTAACGCTACCTGGGAGGCCCATTAGTTTAAATTAATTAAAAACAATAAAAAACTCATTTCTTGGGTCACAATAGCCACATTTCAAGTGCTCGCTAGTCACGTGTGATTAGTGGTTACTATAATGGATGGTGTCAACAAAATACTATCTTAAAGATTCCAATGACTTCCTTATTGCTAAATCCATGGATTGCCCCTACCCTGATTCTCATACTTTTTCAGCATCTGACACTGTTAACATTTCCTCCTTAAATTTTCTCCTCCCTTGAAAAGTCACCTGCCCTCTGACTCTCTCTCAAATGAGTATTTCTCTATATCTTTGTAATGCTGTCCAATAAAACTATCTATGATGCTCAGCCCCATCCAGGAGCCCCACTCAGTCTACTCATTAGAACAAAAGATACTCCTATCATCCACGAAATTCCAAGGGATTTAGGAGCTCTGTGTCAAGATCCAGGATAAAAGACCAAATATTTGAACAAAAGATGCTCCTAGTGCCCCTATCACTCGGGAAATCACAAGATGTTACGAGCTCTGTGCCAGGAAGGAGGGGTGGATGGAGGGGACAGAGAGCAATATATCTATTTTCTGTTATTATATAGGCTCCCAAATCCCTGACCTACATTTGCTTCTCTTTTTAGCTATGGGTTCAAGTCCATAATAGGCTGTTGGATATCTCATGGATATCCTGCTAGCACCTCCAACTCAACACCTAAACTCCAACCTTCAACCTCCAACTCCAAACTCCAACCTCCAACTCAACATCTAAAATCAAACTCATGATTGTTCATCCCATACTCATTCAGTTTTTTATGTTCTTTATTCCAGCTCATCTTTCCAGTTACTAAAGCTGGAAAACTTAGTCATATATGAATCATTCTCTCCCTCCCCTCTGCCCCTTCAATCAGTTGCCTGGCCGTGCTGATTTACTACCTCGGCCATATACTCGTGTATTAATTTATTCTTTTTTGTTTAAAATAATGATTATGAAATATTTAGGCAAACAGGGTAGTAATAAACAACACTATCATAAAACAGTCTACTCAGCTTAGCTTAAGCAAAACTTGCAAATACAAAGACCTTGGCAAATCCATTCAGATCCCATCCTCCTCTCCATGCCAAGGGGGATCACCATTTAAAATTTAGTATTCATCATTCCCATGCAAGATTTATAGTTCTTCTCCACATGTATCCACATATGGCATAGAATATAAGTTGTGTTTTTAAACTTTGGGTAATTGTGGTATTCTGTTTATCCTTTACAACTTTTTTTACTTATTATTTTTGAGACTTATCTTTGATGAATCATCTTTTTTTATTAAATTAGTTATTTAATGAATATACCATAATTTATTAACCACTATGAATTATAATGTATATATATGCATATATATACACACACATTTGTATATATAATAAATGTGTGTGTGTGTATAGTCGCTTTCATTTTCTTACTTTACTTCTAGAATTGAAATGGAGTAATGACATGGTACAGCATTTCAGCCATTTTTGGTTAATCAGAAAAATTCTATTCCTTGTGGCAGGTATTATAAAATAAAAACTTTTCAATATTTTCTAAATATTTTCAAAAATTCTATCCAACTTGCTCTCTGCCATTCCATTCTTTATTTTTCCCCCTTTCTTTTATCTCCTCTAACTAGGCCTTAGGCATGGTTGCCTATTTTGAGAATAGTTGGTAGATATGTCTGGTTTATAGGATTAGAGGACAGAAAAAGGGAATTCCTTGGCAGTCTAGTGGTTAGGACTCAGTGCTTTCACTGTCATGGACCAGAAGATTCCACAAGCCATGAGGTGTGGGCAAAAAAAAAAAAAAAAAAAAAAAAAAAAATCCATCATAAGATAGAGATTTAATCATGAAATAAAGTATGTTACACTTCATGTTGAAAGTGACTCTTCATCATTGAGGGACAACTCACCTTAACAGCATCAGGTTTATTTAGTTTTAAGAATGGTATTATTAAAGTATATTTTTAAGTAAAGCTACCCCATAAGTTTCCTAAGTACAACCAAGAGAATTTCTAGCATTTTATATTACCCTAAGATAACTGACAAGATACTTCCCTGTACTTTATATTCTTCTAACACAGATTATTAAAAAGGTTGAAACACATAATCCATCTTTTCTTCGAAAATTGCAAGAACTTAGAAATATGTCAGTGGACTAAGCTTCCTGGACTGACATGAAGATGACTTTAGAAGTGTTGCAAATAATTTAGAAAATTTAGAATATCCAGGGATGTCAATAGCCTGGATAAAGAGAATGGGGTTTCATGAATTATAAAAATATCTGTCCTTTTGCACCACAGTGATATCATTGGTATGAAGCTTGAATGAAAATGAGGGTCTAACTCAGTTGGAAAAGGTGATCTTGAAAGAGGTGAGCTATCATTAGGTCAAAGAAATTTTATCATATAGTATGTATTGGTTAATTGTAATTTTTTTATTCATCATTCATTTTTCCACAAGATAATAGTCCTGACAGTTTTTTGGTTTAGTATTAATTAAACATCCACAGCATGTTCAGTATTGGTTAGAGCATTCAAAATATATGACCCCTAACACAAGTAGTTCACATTCTAAGATTTGCTTTAAAAATGATCTCCATTATAAATATGTATTGTTTTTATCTACTTTATTGTTTTATTTTTTTCTCATCTCTTTATTTTTTACATAATGGGTAAGTCTCTTAAGCTGATCATTTAAGACTTGATATGTTGATTTGTGAGACTGACATGTGGATTTAAAGCCTGACTCCACTATTTATTTGAAAATGACACTGAGTCTAAAAACCTTGCTAGCCTCAGTTTCCTCATCTATAAAATGATGAACCCATGATACTTATGATACTCATGATTCTTAGGGTTGTGATGGTTAAAGATGCAAAGGAGTTAGCACACAGCAAAAGCTCAAAAGTGTTAGTTCCAAGGGATATAGCTTTTGAGGCGTATTTTTACACTTGATCTTAGCCAAAAGGCAGAGAAGCGATTGAGGCGTATTTTTGAGAAAGCAGGGAAGATATGAAATATGAAAGGGGTTAAGTACACCTAGTCAATCTCAACTAGAATATTCCTGAAATATGTTAGTGATTACCTAAGGCGAACAAGTTGAAGATTCTTGAAATCCAGTGTGCACAGGTTAGAGATTCAGAGGTAGGCAAAAGGTGGATCAGGATCACAGGAACAAAGGTTACGTTAAGTAGACATTGATTTAGGTGCAACTATACAAAACTGCCACCTTTTTAGACAACAATGGGTGAATACTGGTAATTTTATATTGTTCACTTAATAGATGTTCAGAAGGGAAGCAAGGTAGTAGGGATTGTGAAGGAAAGGGGAGTCCTTTAGGTGTGGTGAAGTTAACCAGGCTGTCACTGTTTTTAATACAGAATGGCTAGGCTCTTACAGATGTGAATCAAGTATTATTTAATGGCTTCTTCTCTTTGGAAAGAAAAAGGGTACTGAAGATGGGTGAAAGGGTTCGTGCCAGTGGGTCTATAGAAGTCTTTGAGGCCCTTTGACATTCACCACAGTTTCCAAAGGATTTAACTTATAAAAACACATGTAAGATTTTAAAAAATGAGGAAATTGAGAAAAAGGGAAAATAAAGTGACATTCAGATCTCCTGCTGTGATGTAAACAGTGGCCAGCAAGGGGTTCCTCCAATCATCTTTGGAAAGAAGACAGTATAAATAATACCTAGCACAGTGATCCCTTCCTGATAAGCAACTGCAATTTCTGAGTTCCTATGTAACATGACAGTGGGTGCCATTGAGAGGCTATCTTCCACAGAGAAAATACCTTTTAATTAACACAAACCGCGTTTCAAGTTTTGGCTACAGTACTGAAATAGCTAAGAGAACATGTTCTTTTCAGAGACTACCTTCATTTCCAGCTTTCCTAAGATATTCCATGACAGTGACTCTTTTCAGTGTAGTCTGAGCAGGTCCTCTGAATCTGCTTATGTAGTAGTGATACTTTTGGTAGTTGTGTCTCTTAAAAGCACTGCAGTTATAAAAATAGAATAGTTAGCTCTGGTAGGTTATTACTGTTTTTTCAGTTAGAGTACATGAAGTGTCTCTGCATTTTGACAGAATGGTTTATGGACCAAACATTTCAAAAATGTTTGAAAATGATTTTTTTTTTCATTTCCATTTGTTAATTGGTATCAGTGAGGAAACGAAGGGAACTTTTGTGGCCAAGTACTTTGCTTCCTATGGGTAGCTAGACAACGCTTTATGAAAAGGGCATGGAAATCGTATGCTTAGACTCATAAACCACATCCCCATTCCCAGAAAAGCACCTGAAAATGTCTGAAATATCTCTACTAGGCAAAGAACTATTGTCTATCCAATACATCCATGTTAAGTAGAAAGTGACAATGCTGTGACTTCCCTCCCTCTCTCCCACTCCACTAGTTTTCACTTGTCCTCCCTCAAGCTTCCCATCCCTTTTTCTTTCTCAATTATCAGCTTATTCTACAACACTTTTCCTTCAGAATTTAAGTGTAAAATGGTACAGTTTATACCATTTGCTTTAAAAAGTGATTCTTCTACTTATATATGAGACCCAAAATTCTGAACTTTGTTTTTGCCTGTTTGTGGTTTTTAAGTCAATTCCCTGGGAATTCTATCTTTTGCACAATTAAGTGCCCATTAATCATACCATGTTTTTGATTCAATGAGCAGAAGATGGAAATAGAAGAAATGAGACGCAAACTCCGTCTTTCAAATAAGGATTCTTAAATTCTTGTCAGTGCACACAAAACCCTGTTGAAGTGTTTGGACTTTACAACTCCTGCCTCCAGTACAACTTTATTTACCAAACAATCACAACTGGAACGTTAATTTTTGGAGCCAGAGTTCTAATAAAAAGTGTACTATGGACAGCATATCCACCTCTTTGAGCTTAACCTCTTTCTTGGCAATTAGATTCAGTGTGTAATAGGCAGGGATGTCTCTTGGCAAAACACACAGATAAAACTGAGGATTTCTCCCACCCAGGATGATATCAAGATATCATGGATGCCAAACAGCAAAGGTGTGTTAACCTAGCCAGTAAGTGAAACGAGATTTTCAATGAATGGTCCAAGAAAAAAAGATACTTCACTGAGATTCACTATTTTTAAAACGTTAGCAATTACTGCTGGGCTTTTTCAGATATTTCACTTGCTACCAAGGCGATTAAATAACATGTTTGTGCAACAAAATGATTATGTGACTGAATTTTTTTTTTTAAGGATTCTGTCCTTTTGGAATATATACACTGTATGTTAAATGAAATATACTTGTCTGTTTCGGTGCCACTGGCCAGAATGAAAGCTCTCCTATGTGTGAGGTGAACTGAGATTCCTGTTTAAAATGCCTGCTTCCAGGGTACGTATAAGTGGAAGACAGTTTGGAAACCAGGGGCAAAGGGCTATGGGAACGAGGTGGCTCAGACTGAATCTAAGAGCTGAACGTGTGTGAGAGAAAATCCTCCTCCAGCCTCGGAGGGGGTGTCTCCCCCAATACCAGCTCCCTCCCCCCGGGCTCGCGGGGCGGGCCTGGTTTGCTCAGTAGCAGCAGCGGCCGCAGCAGCAGCCCCGGGGCTGAACGGCAGCGGCCTCCCGGCAGCGAAGGAAACCGGCGGCTCGGAAAGCGAGAGGCCCTGGGGAGATCCGGCTACTGCCAGGATGGAGGAAGCGCCGAGTGGAGCCCGAGCCTTCGGGGACGGGATCTCCTCCCCAGCTCAGCTCCCTCACGGCTTGCCGGGGAGTGCTCCAAGCGCCTACAAGGTGGAAGAGGCCTGCGTTTCGCCCTGGCAGCGGCAGCCGACGAACGAGGCGGGCACAGCGGGGAAACAGGCTAGCCTCGGCCGCTCTCGGGAACCTACGCCGCCACGGCCGCTCATTGTCTCTCCCCTTCCACCCGGGGGGCAAACAGGAAGCGTGCCGCCAGGCCAAGTGACGGACGGGCGTCTGGGCCAATGAGAGCTCGCGACGAAGACCGTGATGGCAAATGAGCGCGGAGAAGAGGGGCGGAACTTCCGGGCGGGCTGTCACCCTCTTCCCCCCTTTTGGGCTGGAGGCTCCACCTTTTGTGTTTCCCGCACAGTCAATCAAAATAGGAAAAAAAAATCCCCGGACCGCTCCGGCCGTGTCCGCCGCCGCTTCCCGCATCCTCTCCCGCCGCCGCCGCCTTCGCTCCTCACCATGTGTAAGGCGGCGGGGAGCCCCGCCTGAGGTGCCCTAAACACACTATGACCGGTACGTAAAACCGAGAGAGAGCAACCCTTGCTGCTGCCGCCGCCGCCGCTGCCGCCGCCAACAGCCAGCCGGGGGCTGCCGCCGCCGGCTCCCGGCCCCCTGTGTGCGACCGAGTGTCTGTGAGAGGCAGAAAGCCGCAATCCCCTCCGCCTCCCTCCCCTCCCCGCCAGCTACCGTCCACCCTTCAAGCCCCAGCAACGCAGTGTCCCCGCCGGGCCCGGGGCGGGCGGCCCGGTCCGCCGGGAGCGCATCCCCCCGTGTGCGGGCGCGGGCGGCGGTCGGGCGGGCGTGTGAGTGACTGACGGTGCGAGAGGAGCGAGCGCGAGTGAGAGCGAGCGGCGCGAAGGGAAAGGGGAGGAGAGGAGAGGAGAGGGGGCAGGGGCAGTGCGGGGAGGAGGAGGAGGAGGGAAAGAGGAGGAGGAGGAGGGTTACAGGCAGCGGCGGGCGGGGGCAGCAGCAGGAGGGGAGGAGGGAGCCGCCGCCGCCGCCGCCGCCGGGGGGCGGGTGGGGGAGGGGAAGGGGACTCGGTCCGGGCTTTCGGAGTAATTTCGCCTCGGCCCGCGGGCCCCCTCCCTCTCCTCCACCCGCCTTCCTCCCTACCCCCACCCCCCCGCGCTGTGCCTGCAGCTCCCGAAAAGCCCGTGAAACAAGAGGAAATGGCTGCCTTGGACGTGGACAGCGGCGGCGGCGGCGGCCACGGCGAGTATCTGCAGCAGCAGCAGCAGCACGGAAACGGCGCGGTGGCGGCGGCGGCGGCGGCGGCCCAGGTGAGGAGCTGCTGAGCCCCGGCCCGGCTCCCCCCTCGCGCCGCTTTCTCCTCCCCTCGCCTCTCCCCTCCCTCCGCGCCTCTCTCCTCCCCTCCCCCCGCCCCGGGAGCTGCCCGCCCGAGGCGCCAACGCTCCGACCCCGCCCGCGCTCCCCCGCCCGCCGCCTTTTTGTGTGAGAGACTGAGTGTGTGTGTGTGTGTGTGTGTGTGTTTGTGTGTGTGTGTGTGCGCGCGCGCTTGTGAGAGAGTGTGCGCCCTCCCGGGGGTGGGTTCCGGGCGGAAGGTGGAGGCCCGGCGCGCAGTCCGCCGCCCGCCTTCCCGCGGACGGTGGGGCCGGTGTGCGTGCGAGCGGGAGGGCGCGAGCCGGAGTCGAGGAGGAGGAGGAGAGCGCGGGCTGGCGCTCGCCCGGGCGCTGCCTGCGAGGCCAGAGTCGCACTTCCTGTGTGAGCGGCGGCCCGGCCCTAACCGCCACCCCCTCCCCCTGTCTCCCTCTCTGAACCCGCCCATCGGGGGTAGGACACTCAGCCGTCACCGCTTGCTCTGCTGGCCGCTACCTGCAGCAAGATAGGGCCGCCATCGCCAGGCGACGACGAGGAGGAGGCGGCCGCCGCAGCCGGGGCCCCCGCCGCCGCCGCCGCCGGAGCGGTAAGTCTCGCGCGCGCGGCCCGCCTCCGCCGAGGCCCAGCGCCCGCCATCCCGGGCCCGCGGCGCTCCCGCCCGCCTGCAGGCCTCCCCGGCGTCCGCGCCTGCCTCGAGAAGGACGGCCGCGCGGCCGGGGCACCCTTTCCTGCTCTTTGGCGTGCTTGGTTTGGATCAGAAGCCAGCCTAGGCTTTCTCTAAATTGTCACTGCAGCACCTCCATCCACATTCACTACAAAATGAAGTCTGAGAGGGTGGGGGTAGAGGCCTCCAAAATGGATGTTTGAGCAAATTCATATCAGTGCTGAAAACTCCTTCGCCGAACGCTACAAAAATTTCAAGCACAGCCTATCGGCCATAGATAGTATCAACTACAGAGCCAGTGTCTTTAGCTTCTAGTGTTTTTTGGACTCGGACTCGGAGCTTTTTCTGCTGGGAGTTACTAGATCTTACTGACTTAAATGTTAAATCGTTTTTTTTTTTGAAGGAATGAAGGTTTACTCTTTGAACTACTCTTTTGTATACGGGAATGAACACCTTTTGAGTGCTTTTTTAATGGCCATTCCAAATGATAGAATTTTAGTTTTTGCAGGCTACTTAAATTTGCAGTAATTGTTCTTGAATGGAGTTTAAGTGATCGTTGGAATCGGTGAAGTTATTTAGATAATATTTTGGCTTTTGAAGTTGAATAAGAAGAAACAAGTACGTGTAAGGAATTATATTTACATGAATGCTAATGCATACCATGCTTACAGTTGAATTTGGTTGACAAAGCTATATTTTCACTTATTGTGGTTGCTAGTCTCATGGAATGTGGTGGGATTCTTCTTTTTGGGTTTTTAGTTTGTCTGGGGCAGGGGGAGGAGCTGGCCAGTGTTAGAGGAGGGCTTAATACAAATTAGCTAGAAACAGTTTTTTAAGGTTATTGTGAAGTTTACATTCGTTTGAATCTTTGTTGTTGCATTAATTTAACATGTAGATGTGTTCACTTATTAAAATAATTGAAATCGCTTACATTATTGTGTTTTTTTTTTTAATGTGGATTATAGGAATTGGTCTGTGTTGTAGTATTTTGACTTGTCACTGTAGACGAAAAAGTTTGTTGTAGTCCGCAGGAAATTCTTAGTGTTTCAAGACATTAAAAGTGAAGCTGTTGTTCAGCTGAATAATTACTGTTAAATATTGTATTTGTAATTTTAATACTTGAAATTACACTGTAGAGGGATGTGAATAGATTTACTGACTTAAAAGTATGATTCTAGGTTTTGTTCTTTTGTAACCAGGTTGAAATGTAAAGGCATAAAATTATGTATGTGAGATGCATTGTTACTTTCAAACAAATTTATGAACTGGTAAACCTCTTTTATGAACTATGTCCCTTTAGGCCCACAGTGCCAAAGGAAAAAAAAGTTAAACACTACATGAGTAAAATTGCAAGGCAGATTGTGTCTACTTATCTTTTTAAGTTTTTCAAATAAGAACTTTTTGTAACTGCAACTTAACCAAGTTTAGGTATCAGCACAGTGATTGGGGGAGGAGAGAAGTGAAGGAAGAAGTTAGGAGTAGAATATATGTATACATACATGTATATGTAAGTCTAACTGGAGGAATAGGATACTGTTTCCAACCTTAGCCTACTGTGGCCATAAACTTGTAGGGAAGTTGTTTCCCTGCCTCTTCAGCTCCTCTGAACTACCAAATCTCTACGGAAATCACATTTCCCGCCAGATTAACATGAACCACAATCACTGTAAGCACTTTTTCTTTGTATGTTTGGTATTTGTGCATAATATTTTTCACTGAGTAAAAAATAGTATGACTGTCTTGAGCGTGTTTGGGTTACCAAATGGGAAAATTATTTTCCCAGTTCAAAAATGAATTGTCGATGTGGACATCTCAGTAGATAGGAGAGAATTTAAGTGATTTCATAGGAGTTTTCCCCACTTGAAAAATGTGCTTGGATAATGTGACTTTCCTCAACTAGGAATTATGAGAGGTTTATGGAGAGCTTTTGTAGGTGTGCTCTCTAAAAGTTTTATTTTGGGTTTATTTTGTATTTACAGAAAAGTTGCAAAGATAGAACTGAAAATTACCTTTTATCCTTCACCTAGCTTCCTCAAATATTGATATAACTAACCATGATTCATTTGTCAAAACTAGAAAATTAACATTGGTAGTGTTATTAACTATAGACTTTGTTCTGATATCACTCCATTTTTTGTTCTAGGATCCAACTCAGGATACCACATTGCATATAGTATTATTATGTTTAAGATCAAGTTGAAATATACAACATTCTACTTAAAACTTTTTTAAATGCAACTTTATACTAATTTGATATTTTAGGATTAAAGGGGCATTGAAAAGCCAATAGCTGAACTACAGACTTGCTTTACATATTTTCAGTTTAGAATTTGTTATGATTTGTGTTCATCCTGGATCCTGGCCAAGAATTTTTGGCACCCTCATTATAGTGTTGAATAGGTATAATCACAAAGCAGCCTCACCTGTAATGTCCCACAGCATAGACTCTCAAAATTGATTTGATGGAAAGATTTTTATGTTTTATTATTAAGTTGTGTAGTTAGTTTTAGTAGTAAATCAAGAAATAGAAATGGAAGAACTTTGAGGTATTAACTCATCCAGTCTACATTTGTGTGAACCTGTGAATTACTCATTTGCACTTAATTATTAATCTATATAAGTAAGTGTTATGAAAGACATTGCCTAAATTTTAGTTTAACTTGTAATGTTTCAGTTATTACATAAATGTTTGTGAACTGCAAAGTGAATAATAACTTACTATATAAAAATTATTTTGACTCTTACTTCAGATAAGACTGACACTATCATTGTAAGGAATTCATTGGGTAATTGTTTTTATATTTGTAGTCTATGTTCTTTACTGTTCCCTTTGAAGATTTTAAGAAACTTCAGTACTTGCCCTAGAATGCTGCTTGTTTTTTTCCACCTTAGCTTCACACTTGTTTCCAGTTACTCTTTTCTTGCCTATTTCTGGCTTTTGTAAAGCCATTTGTGGGAACTGAGGGGTTATTAATCCTTTCCAAATGAGATGTAATAAGTTGGTATGAATTTGTTCTTTCCTTTACACAGTTATTATCTGAAAAGATAAATTCTTGGATTTCTCCCTTCTCCCCCGTCGCCCCATTTTATGCCTGGTTTCAGTGGAGAATACCCTTGTAATGAATTTGTTGTAGTAATGTCCCAGGGCTGCTCTTGGTTGTGGTCTTTTTTTTTAAACCATGTGATTATGTGTTTGTATACAGAGGGAAACTTGGACTACCTTCAATTACAACGGTTTCAATAATGCCAGTGTCCATGTTAATTGGTGTTTTGTCAGAATATTAGAATTACTGAGAGAAACACGATTTTTCTCTTAGTATGTAAGCTTAATGTGGAGGGTTATCTTGAACCCAAACCAAATACTAATTCTTGCCTGGGTTATGTGTTTTTTATGTCTCTCTGTCTATACTGTTTCTAGTAGCCTAACATCAAACATTCTTACAACTTTTTTTTTGGTCTCAAATGTTCTAGTTTATTTTGCTAGTATACTACTGATGAAATTTCTGTTAAAAGAAATCATTTTTGTAGGCTTTGTAGTTTTGAAACATTTAGGGCATATTTTTTTTGTGGAGTTGATTTAAAACTGGTACAGAGTTTTTCATTGAAGACACTAATATCTCAAGATCAGTTTTATTGATCCCATTTTTTCCTATCATTTTCTTTGCAATTTTTAAATAAGATATTTTTATTTACTTAAAAAATACTTATTGATCTTTCTGCTAGGCACAGTTGGATGTTTTTCAAATTTGTCCTGTAATTGTAGTCATTGTAAGGACACTGTAGGATTATATAGTGCTTTACAGTTTATAAAGCTTAACACTTTCTTTAGGCTCTTATGACCCTGCAAGGTAATATTTTTCCCCTAAGGAAATTGAGTCCTGATCTAAATCACCTATAATTCTAGGTGATTATAGAATAGCTAGGGCTAGAACCCAGTTTTGAATTTTTTTCTTTCCTAGTGCAATATACTCCTTTCCTCTAAGCATTTGCTCTCTCAGCTTAAATCGTGAAAGTCTAGTGTTTTTCTGTTTCAGTGTTCATAAATATTTGTTATATATGTTTTAACCTTAGGTTTACCCAAAAGTTCAAGTACATCATTTTAGCCTAGGTTTGGGGACTTCCCTTTGATTAATGGCCTGTGTTATTGGAAAGAGTACTGTAGTTTAGTTAGCTTCTGGAGAAGGGGGTGATTGCGTAGTATGTCATCTGAATAGTTGTATTTATTTTCAAGGAATTTCTGAACTAGAAAGCTGTTCACTGATGGTTTAATACCTGTTCTTATAAAGATGTTGTTAAAAGAAGTACTCAGATGCCATAAATTCTAAGGAAGAAAAGGGACAGCATGCCAGTACAGTTGTCCCTCTGTATTTGTGGGCTCTGAATCCTTGGAGGCCTGCCTGTTGCACCTCAGTTTATGTAAGGGAATTGAGCATGGGGATTTTGGTATCCACGGGGTCCTGGAGCCAATCCCCTGTGGATACCTAGGGTTAGCAGTATTGTAAAATTAACTTGTATATGAGGTATCTTCTTTGATGTAAGTTGAAAGATGGTATATATAATGCTGGTCAGAAAAAATTCCAAGTTCGATTCCCTAAAGAATAACCTTAAGAAAATAAGAGTTGGATTTGAAACACTATACTTTAGATTTCAGTATGAATGTCTTTAGTTTAAAATGCCAAGAGACTGAAATGAAATGTAAATATGTTACTCTAATCCTGGGAAAGGTGACTTAAACTTGTAATTTCTATACCAGGTAGAATTTGAAGAATGATACATGACTTTAATGTCCACTGCTTCATTTTAACTGTGACTTTAATGTCCACTGCTTCATTTCAACAGTTTAAGTTTGATAAGTTTAAATGTTTGTGTTTAAAAGATAGATCATTATTCTAGTTCAAGCCTGGACATTTGTACTTGGTCCCACAGTTTCTGTGACTTTTTTGTCTTCAGCCTTTCAGTCTCCTTCACTAGGTCTTAGTTTACTTTAATAAAACACAGATCTGATTGCACCACTCACTCGCCTCAAAAGCTTTTATAGCTTTCATTCACTATCTGTAGGATAAAGTCCAACCTCCTTAGTATGATCTATGGAGCCATTTACTACAGGACCTGATAAAAATGTCTAGTCCTCTTCCCCATTTTGTTCTATGAATATGAGTCTTTTCTGGATTCTCTCTTCAACTCCAAACTATCTTTTTTTTTTTTTAAAGTTTCTTTTTGTCTGTGAGTTAATTATTTCTATACCTTAATGCCTATATCTCTGCTTCCTCACTGCCTGCAGTGAAATCTTAAATTTTATTCATGATTACCTAAAAAATCTCTTCTGTGAAGTCTTGTCTTTTTTTCATTTTTCTATTTCCCCAAAGTATTTTGATCCTATGCATAGTGTACACCACTGTTCACATAGTAGTAACATGTATGTGTATGTCTGGTTGGATAGATAGTGAATCAGTTGAAGATAAAAATTGTATCTCATGGGCTTACTCATGGTTATTTGATCTTGGCAGATATGCTCAAATATTTTGAATTGAGTCATTAAACTGTGGTTCCTTCATTGAAATATACATTTCAGCTGCGTGTGCACATGAAAATTAGATAGTGAGTCTCCATAAAAAATCAAAAGTTCCTCTGGTTCTATAATATTTGTATTAAATTTTGTGGAATGGTTCATTTTGAGAGAATACTATTTGTCTTCGCCTGTTTTTAATGGTCACAGACCCCCCAGCCCCATCCTTCCAATTGAACTTTCTCAAAAAGTTGATATGCTATTTTAGAGGATTCAGAGATCCTTTGCACCTCAGGCATGGATTGTACGTTGAGAATTCTGGTTTAGATATCTTCATGTTCTCATTGTCTAGTGATGTGTGGAGTTACAGGAAATCACATACAGATCTAGAAGGAAGTGGAGTAGGGGTGGCGTTATTTTGATGGTGATCAATTCATACAGGTCTCATTCCCTGTGTGTTTACCCTTGGTCTTAGTGAGAGACAAGTATGGTATAGTATTTAAGGGCATGGCTTCTGGAGTTAGACTGACTTAGTTTTAAATCCTGTTTTGGACATTTGACATTTGATAGTTGTCTGATTGTGTCTCTCAGTTTTGTCATCTGTGATATGGGGATAATCATACTACCTCATAGAATAGTTGTAAGCAATAGATTATATAATCTTACAAGTCCCTACCATGGTACTTGTTATTACTCCCTTAAAAAATTTACCCTTTCACATTGATATGTTGGGTTTTATTGCTTTGTACTTTCCTACAGTGATATTTTTCTAGTCTTGTCTAATCCATAATGGAGATGATACCTGAAATTCTAGCAGATAACAGAATTGCAAAATATAATGTTTAATATCCTACTGCAAACTTAAAGAGAAATAGGAGGTAAAGCAACAATCTACTTCCTCCAGCTTTTAGATTCTAGAAAAACCTTTTAGATGGACTGACTTTGCAGTGTGGTCACAGGGCAATAATCTTTCCTCATTAAACATTTTTAAGGTCTCATATATTTTTTAGTAATTCATGCAAAAGTAAAGAATTTGATGGCTCACTAAAGGAATCACTCACATCTTGTATTTACTCCAGAGTACCTTACTACATGCCATGAAAGAGTAGCTTTAATTGTTTGATTTAAAGTTGATAGCAGAAATATACAAATCTTATTTCTGATTCTAGGAACTGATGACACTGCTCTAATAATGTTTCTTTTTTGTGCACAAATATGATGCACTTGATTTAATGATAATGTTTTTAGTGGGTTTTATACTTTCTGAACTCTCTTCCGTGTTTGAGGCATATTTGGTTTGAGCCGTTCATAATCTTTTCTACCTATTTCTTTTATTTTTAACTGTATAGCACCAGAGGGATCATAGATGAGGGATTGGAAAATCAGTTTGTAGTCATAAAATAAAGAATATTCTAATTGAACTTTTTCCTGCTCAAATATCCTGGTTTATCTTAGCAATAACTAGCAAAATAGAAAATGATGATTATCATAGTTTATACAGTACTTCTGTATTTGAGCTCTGTTGTGTTACTGAGAGAATTTTCAGGTGATAAGGGTTTTTATCAGTTTTTAAAGTTTTTTGAGAATTGGATTAAATATACCACAAATACATATCACATAACATTTTCTGTTTTCTTCATCCAGACAGGTGATTTGGCTTCTGCACAGTTAGGAGGAGCACCAAACCGATGGGAGGTTTTGTCAGCCACACCTACAACTATAAAAGATGAAGCTGGCAATCTAGTACAGATTCCAAGTGCTGCTACTTCCAGTGGGCAGTATGTCCTTCCCCTTCAGAATTTGCAGAATCAGCAAATATTTTCAGTTGCACCAGGATCAGATTCATCAAATGGTACAGTGTCCAATGTTCAATATCAAGTAATACCACAGATTCAGTCATCAGATGGTCAGCAGGTTCAGATTGGTTTCACAGGCTCTTCAGATAATGGGGGTATAAATCAAGAAAGTGGTCAAATTCAGATCATTCCTGGCTCTAATCAAACCTTGCTTGCCTCTGGAACACCTCCTGCTAATATCCAGAATCTCATACCACAGACTGGTCAAGTCCAGGTTCAGGGAGTTGCAATTGGTGGTTCATCTTTTCCTGGCCAAACCCAAGTAGTTGCTAATGTGCCTCTTGGTCTTCCAGGAAATATTACCTTTGTACCAATCAATAGTGTCGATCTAGATTCTTTGGGACTCTCGGGCAGTTCTCAGACAATGACTGCAGGCATTAATGCTGATGGACATTTGATAAACACGGGACAAGCTATGGATAGTTCAGACAATTCAGAAAGGACTGGTGAGCGGGTTTCTCCTGATATTAATGAGACTAATGCTGATACAGATTTATTTGTGCCAACATCCTCTTCATCACAGTTGCCTGTTACTATAGACAGTACAGGTATATTACAACAAAATACAAATAGCTTGACTACTACTAGTGGGCAAGTCCATTCTTCAGATCTTCAGGGAAATTATATCCAGTCGCCTGTTTCTGAAGAGACACAGGCTCAGAATATTCAGGTTTCTACAGCACAGCCTGTTGTACAACATCTACAACTTCAAGAGTCTCAGCAGCCAACCAGTCAAGCCCAAATTGTGCAAGGTATTACACCACAGACAATCCATGGTGTGCAAGCCAGTGGTCAGAATATATCTCAACAGGCTTTGCAAAATCTTCAGTTGCAGCTGAATCCTGGAACCTTTTTAATTCAGGCACAGACAGTGACCCCTTCTGGACAGATAACTTGGCAAACATTTCAAGTTCAAGGGGTTCAGAACTTGCAGAATTTGCAAATACAGAATACTGCTGCCCAACAGATAACTTTGACGCCTGTTCAGACACTCACGCTTGGTCAAGTTGCAGCAGGTGGAGCCTTGACTTCAACTCCAGTTAGTCTAAGCACTGGTCAGTTGCCAAATCTACAGACAGTTACAGTAAACTCTATAGATTCTACTGGTATACAGCTACACCCAGGAGAGAATGCTGACAGTCCTGCAGGTGAGTCTTCTAAGTCATGTATTGCCATAGATAAGTTCACTGATAGGTTAATATGTAGGGAATTTTTTTCCTCTAAGTGTTTATCAGAATCTGGCTATCTTTAAAGATGATGATACATTTCCCTGTGTCTGTATAAAAAAATCAACATCAAACTGTGTTCTGAATTGTTCTTCATTGAAAGATGATAGTTTTTATAAGTCAAGAATTGATTTCTGTTATGCCAGTTACATTTGTTGTTTCTTGTTACTCCGTTTATGTATTTTCTTAACATCTGATCGGTACTCTCAAGCATCACAGAATTTTTATTTGGCAGGTAAGGTGTCTTGGCTGTCTTTGGTGTGATGTAAATTATATGTTTTATGCATTTTATTTGGTTGGGCAATCAGACTGGCGTAGTAAAAGTATGGTACTGGGAGTAGGTAGTGTTCATGCTGTCTCACTCACTAGCTAGCTGTGTGGTTGTGGCTAGGTTACTTTTGCTCCTACAAACTCAGTTTTCTCAGCATGTAAAATGTGCTTGTTGGACTACATAACTATGTCTAGGTCTTATAGACCTAAAATTCTTCAATTCTGTGATAATTTATTCTTAGAAGTGTGAAGTAGGTCCTAAACATAGTTGTGCTAGATATGTTATCATTGATAGTATGGGTAGAAATTTCAGAAGTGTCCTCTTTGTTTTGTAAGAATGAAATAATACAGTTTTAAAAGAGATAGTATAGTCATTACTTTAGTAATGTTATTTACTTAGTATTTTATTGAATGTTTTGTTGTACACTAAATTCTTTCACTCTTTTATTTTGTTGTTTTGACCCTTTCAAACTCAAGCTGGGAACTTGTATTTAATTTATTGAATTAATGGTATTACCCTCTTTCTTTAGAGAAATTTGTGATATGTACACAGAAAATTGGGTTTCCCAGGTGACTCAGCGGTAAAGAATCCACCTGCCAGTGCAGGAGACCCGGGTTTGATCCCTGGGTTGGGAAGATCCCCTGGAGGAGGAAATGGCAGCCCACTCCAGTATTCTTGCCTGGAGAATCCCACGGACAGAGATGATCCTGACAGGCATAGGGTTGCAAAGAGTTGGACACAACTGAGCAACGAAGTCTCGATGTGTTCTTAGGAAGCCTTTAATTGCATTTGAGCCTTCTGAAGCTGTGGTTTAAAGCTGCATTCTCAAAGTGTGGTCTGTGGACCACTGAGGATTCCTGAGACCCTCTCAGAAGTCCTTGATGTCAAACTGCTTTTCATAATAATAGTAAAATTACTTGCCTTTTTTGTTGTGTTGACATTTTCACTGATAGTTGCTAAAACTGCTGTATCTTAGCACAAATCAAAGCTGTGATGATAAACTGTAATAGTAGCAGTATTCTTTATGACCATCCACGTGCAGTTAACGAAAAATGCTAGTTTCATTGAACAATAACCTTGATGAACACATCAAGAGTTATTTTCACTAAATCTTGACCCTTGAATGCTGCATGTCCTTTTTAAAATAATAGCTTTTTTGAAATATAACTCACATATTATAAAAGTTACTAAAGTATGCGATTTAGTGGTTTCTAATACAGGGACAGACTTGTCCAACCATCACCAGTGTATAATTTTAGAGCATTTTCACCACCACCCCCAAACCCTATACCCATTAGTAGTCACTCTACATTCCCCCATTCCCTTATCCCCCAGCAACCACTAATCTACTTTTCTGTCTCTTTGGATTTGCCTATTATATCTTATCAGTAGAATCATACAATAAATGGCTTTCTGTTTCTGACTGTTTGCCTATTTTCAGCCTTCACTGTGTTGTAGTCTTTACCAATACTTTGTTCCTTTTTGTGGTTGAATAATATTCCGTTGTAGGGATATACCACATTTTGTTCACTTATCCATTGATTGACAGCATTGCCATTTTTTAGCCATCGAGAGAATGCTGCTATGAACATTTCTGTACAGTTTTTGGATGTGGACATGTGTTTGTTTCTTTTGGGTATATACTTAGGAGTGGAATTGCTAGATTGTATGTTTAACATTTTGAAGAACTGCCAAAATGTTTTTCCAAAGTGACTATCATTTTACATTCTCACCAACAAAAGGGTTCCAGTTTTCTACATCCCCATCAACACATCATTGTCCTCCTTTTTGATTTTAGACAATGGGTGTGAAGTGGTATCTCATTGTGTTTCTGGTTTGTAGTTCCTGCTGCATGTTTTTGTAATATTCTTTGTGATAAAATGGGAACTGTACTGTAATAAAGCACTTCTGCTGCATCCCCAAATAAGACGATTATATTTTAAAAAACATACATACTGTTTTCACTTGAGCAGTCGTGTGAGTTGCAAGCTGAGCTAGATGCTATTTTCAGGAAACACAATACTTGAAAGACTGACAGACTGATTATTGAGTGACTCATGTATTTAAGTGACAGATATTTTCTGAAAAAATAAGTGAGCCTGTCCTTCAAAGGAAAAAAATCTATTTGCTTCCAATGATAAAATTTGGACTTTCCAGTGAAAATAAGAATTTAGGAAAACTTGAATCTACTACTATGAACTTGATAATGTATTAATAATTTCATTCTTTTCTGATGAGATAGACAGTGTGAAATTAATAAATAGGGTTTTTTGAATACTGTATTGTAATGAAATATGCCAACATTTGCAAGATCTTTATGATAGTTCAGTGAATCAGTGGTTTTCAAATGACCAACTTATCTTACAAATCATGCGTGGGTGAAAGATAGACTAACAATAAACATGTGGAAAGTTTATCAATATGTTTTCAGATTCTACACTGCAACTGATGTTTAAGAAACGGTCACTAGTCAAATTTGGTATAGTATCAAAGAAGAATATGTGGGGCACATTTGGCTGAAAGACTTAACAGATTACTTCTTCCTTTTCCATCCATGTATCTTTGTGAGACTAGATATTCTTCATATGCTTCAGCCCAAACCACATACTGCTGCAGACTGCAGAAGAAAATATGAAACTCCACTTGTCTTCTTTTAGCCTAGATATTAATGGGATTTGCAAAAATATAAAACATGGCCTTTCATTAACTTCTAAATATATTTTGGGAAAATAGTTGTTTTTCACAAAACAGTAATTTGTGTTAACATGTAATGGGTTTATTGTTTTCAAATGAATTGAAACATTAAAATTTTCTCTTTTAATTTCTACTACAGTAAATATCAAAAAATGTATCAAACATTAACAAAAGCTTTTTAGGGACCTCAGTAATATTTAAGAGTTTAGAAGGAGTCCTGAGACCAAAAAGTTTGAAAATACTGGTAGAATGACAGACTCCTGAAGACATAGATAGTTTTTAAAAGCAGTTTCTAAAGCTTCCACAAAATTGAAATTATGGAGATCTGTACGTGTTAGAACACCTCTAGAGAATTTATTTGTGATTTTGTGAATTTATATTGGTCATGAAATTAGATTGATACGAAGCAGTAAGTGCTCAGTAATTTATTTCCCAAAATAGTATCAAAATAGCAACACTGTTTGAATTAAATGCAAAATTGAATTTTTAAGATGATAATTTAGTTTATTGAATGTTGGGGAAGGAAGAGTAAAATAAGCACTCCAGAAGGCCATTAAATTAGGATTTTCTCCCAATTATAAAGGAATGAGAAAACAAAAGTTAAAGAGAATGATAATGAAAATGCTGCATAGTACATTGTAGCATATTTAAAAATAACCAAAAAATTGGAATTTGGGGATAATCTAGTGATAAAACTATTCCTTGGTATACTGTCTTTTTAATTGACAAAAAACTTGTAAGACATGTTTTCTTATGTGAATAATCAGTTTTAAAAAAAAGTGTTAGAACATAGTATGGCCAGATGAACTGCTTAAATCTTGATACCATTTGTTTGCATTTTATTTTTGTTTAGTATGGAAACCATGAAACACATTTCCCACATAAAGGAAACCACACTTTTTTTTTTTAAACCAGGGTTCTGGAATTTAATCATCATCTTTTTTTTTTTTAAAGCTCCCCTTTAACAGAAACGACTTCTATTCTGACCTGTTTTAAGGTGTGAATCTGATTCGGGGCCCCTCCTCATGAGGGCTATGTTTAGTGCTCTTTACCCCTTAGAAACCAAACCCCATTTTCCTTGCAACATAGAACTCAGTGGGCCCCAAGCTGCAACCCCAGTCACTCCTTTTATTTCTATTCCTTGCCCACTGAGAAATGCATGCTGTTTTTGAAATTTAATTTTTACTCTGCCATTTTTTATGTGTATGAAACTAAGTGAGAAGAGAGAGAGGATGAATTTACTTTTGGAAATTACCTTCCAACATCTTTTCCAGTCAGAAAATATCTCCCAAATTAAGCCAAGGCCTAATCCAGTTTCTCAGATTTGAGTCCTGTCAGATTTTGACTTATCCTTTAAGACTGAGTGTTATATACATTTTAAAATATTGTCACATAACTGCACTGCTTGTACAGTTTTTTTATCTTTAATTTTTGGTTAATTTATTTTTTGGTAGAGTGAACATGTCCATCAAGTATTATCTTTTGTTGTTTAGTTGCTCAGTCGTGTCTGACTCTTTGCGACCCCATGGACTGCAGCACACCAGACTTCCCTGTCCTTTACCATATCCCAGAGTTTGCTCAACCTCTTGTCCATTGAGTTGGTGATGCCATCCAACCATTTTGTCCTTTGCCGCCCCCTTCTCCTCCTACTGTTGATCTTTCCCAGCATCAGGGTCTTTTCTGATGAGTTGCTCTTCACATCACGTGGCCAAAGTATTGGCGCTTCGGCATCAGTCCTTCCAATGAATCCTCAGGGTTGATTTCCTTTAGGATTAACTGGTTTGATCTCCTTGCTGTCCACGGAACTATCAAGAGTCTTCTCCAGCACCATAGTTCAAAGGCATCGAGTTTTGAGTGCTCAGCCTTCTTTATGGTCCACCTCTCACATCTGTACATGACTACTGAGAAAACCATGGATTGGCTATCTCAACATTTTTTGGCTAAGTGGTATTTCTGC